CGGCGCTGCCTGGCTGGCAGGAGCCTTCTGGGATACCGCCCCCTGGGCTCCCAGCCAGGGCAGGACGCCGGCGCGGGCCATAGGGCGGCATGAGGGCGGGCAGAAAGTTGGCAGACAGCCGCCAGGCTGTTGCTGGGGAGCGGGCCGGCGCAGCGCCACGGAACCGCCCCAGGAGGCACGCAGGCGCGACTCCTGCTATAGAGCTTTGGGGGGGCCGCTCCTGTCTGGGAGCACACAAGCGCAGCTCCTTTCAGGGAGCCTGGGGGTGCTGCTCCTGTCAGGGAGCACAGGAAGGAGCTCTGGTGGGCAGCGCTCCTGTCGAGGAGCGCACAGGCGCAGCTCCTTTCAGGGAGCATTGGGCGCCGCCCCCTTCGGCGAACTTCTGTTCTGGGGCGCCGCTCCTGTCAGGGAGCTTTGAAGCGCCGCTCCTATCAGGGAGCTTTGAGGCGCCGCTCCCGTCAAGGAGTTTTCGGCCGCTGCTCCTGTCAGGGAACACGCGCAAGGGAGCTTTAGGGCGCCGCTCCTGTCGGGGAGAACGCAGGCGCAGCTCCTTTCAGGGAGCGCTAGGCGCCGCTGGCTCCTATCAGGGAGCACGCAGGCGCAGCTCCTTTCAGGGAGCTTCGGACGCGCCGCTCCTATCAGGGAGCCTGTCTTGTTTGTGCAGCCGCTGTCAGCGAGTTTTGTTTTGCCGCTGCTCGTATCAGCGAGCATTCTCGATCTGGCTTCAAGGAGCCAGCGCACGGGAGCAGCAACAGAAGAACTGCGAGACACGATCGGCCCAGCAGACGAGACCCGAGCAGCGCGGGCGAACCGCCATGCGAGACCGCACCAGAGTACACACGAACAGAGCAAGGTGAGCATACTTCCGCCGCTTCGCGCAGAAACCGCCGGCCGCCGACACCGCAGCCCGCTGCGCAGGCATTGAGCGTGCAGGAATTGAGGAGTGGAGGCAAACACACGTGGGGCTGCTCCTCACGGTTTTCCTGCAGCATAAACGAGTTTATGAATCATGAAAACCATTGCGGTAGCCAGGCCCACTGTAGAATGGCCGGCGTCCTTGCGCCAGCATAGGGCGTGTGAACGGCGCTGCCTGGCTGGCAGGAGCCTTCTGGGATACCGCCCCTTGGGCTCCCAATGCACCAGAAGGCGACGGACTGCGCGGCAGCGCCTGACAGGGGTACATCGTGAGGACCGCTTCCTGTTCCTATTGGTTTTACAACCCCACGCACACGATGCCACAGTCAGGCTTGCTCGCCGCCACTTGAGTCGGAGTGGTCAACTAGCCATTCGGCCGCCGACAAAGCACCGCGACTTTGGGCGCTGACGTAACCGAAAGCCGCCACGCCCTTCCAACCACCACTAAAAAACAAAGCTGCGGGCCCTCCTTGTTGGAGCGCCTCGTCGGCAAAGCCTCGCCTGAAAGCGTGCGTGCCCCAGGCCGCAGCACTCCGCAACTGCAAAGCGGCTGCTGCAACTTTGAGAACAGCAAGAGCGTCGGCATATTGCACGCTTGCGAAGGGGACCGACACTGCTGTTCCTACAGAGAATAATTCGCAGACGCCACACAAGGAGCGCCCTTGCAGCTGACAAATACAACGTCTGGTTGTCTCACACGGTTCGTTGTAACATTTGCGATGCGCGAAACGAATGACACAGGTTTTGCGTTCATCGCCGCTGAAGCGGAATGTCACAACATTTGACCCGAGGAGCAGCAACTCAGAGTAACGCAAACAAAATTGGCGAGCGATCACCCACGACGCCGCCAACAGCGGATATCCAGCTTCAGCGCACCACTTGCGGATGAGTTTGGTTTCTTCCGCCGTCGCCCGGATCTTCACTCTCCTGAATACGTCTCGGGTAATTTTCTCGGCACCCCTGGCCAGCCTTTCTGCGTTGTCGAGAACACCGAGAGGGGCCTGCAATAGGTAGAGCACACTGCGAACATGAGAAACATATTTTTGCAAACTGTTCCCATTACGGAATAACCCCACAAAGGCATTGAGAACAGATTCGGACGGTGGCCAGCTGGGCGCCGAAATGGCCCTGGCAGCTTCGCCCCACAAGCGGACGGCGGAAGCGTATTGTGGAGCACTTTTTCGCCAGGCAGCGAACTCGACCCACAGAGTGTGGAGATGGAGATGATCTCCGCCAGGAACATCGCGACGTGCACGTTTGACTTCTTCACGGGGCCTGCCAATTGGCTCCGCCCCTGGATAGCAATTGCAGCGGGCGGCGGCCGCCAGCGCGGCTGCTAGCACAGGAGGTTCGGGAACAACGCGAGCACGGCGCGATTCACCAAGCAAGATCAAGCCAGCACGACCTTGCTCGTCGTTGGCTGCCTCACGCGGATCGCTTTGGCTCGCAACTCGGGTTTGTGCCTCTGCCCCAGCCCCTGAAGAGGACGAGGCAGCCGCGGTGAGCGTTGCCTGTCGGCACGCCGCGGCCGCGAACTCCCGGTCGGCCTGGCGCTGACACTGCGCCAAGAAGGCTTTGACGAGCGCAACGTTCTGCCCAGAAAACGCAGGGACGAGATCTACCAATTCATTTGCTTCCAAACCGCCCAAATCAGACAAATGCTGGAAGCCACCGTTCTCCAGAGCTTCGCAAAGACCAGAGATATCAACCATATTCACGCCAGCCACGCCCTGCAGCACGCGAGCGAAAACCGAGTTCACATCGCTCGGCGGCCCTGGCGGGGCACCTTCAGCACGCAGACGCTTGCTTCGGCTCTCGTTTACAAAACTAAGCATTGAGCCGATACTACGGAGAAGGCAAGACTGGCGCATGGCATTCTTCCTCCAATCAGAACCTGTGCACATGTTATTGTTTCACTTTTTTCTCAGCCGCCCCAGGGTGCATCCGGCGGAAACAGCCACTCAACGCGTTGAAAATTTCGCGCCTGCAGCTCGGCAATTTGCTCTGCCTTCTCAGACGGCCGTGCGGGGGCATCTGCGAGATTCAAATGCGAAGGCACATACCAAAGATGCAGGAAATGCGCCTTGTCGGCGACGAGAAGCCACAGATTGCCAATCAGACAATTCCAATCGGACTTCCGCGAGCAACCTCGCACAAGCGCACCCAATGCGCTTTTGTTATCAACGAAGCAGATGATCTCGAGATCTGCTTGGCCAATGCTTAAAATCCATTTCAGTGCGCAGATCGCTGCCATCAGCTCCCAGGTGCCGATTTGGTTCTTTCGCCAGTGTGCCCATTGGCGAGCGCTGTCGGGCACCCTGGTGGCGGCCCAGACTTTGGCGAAAGGAGCGTGCAGCACCCACGCCATCATGCCAGTGCCGGTTGCGTCGCTGTACAAAATGCACCGCTGGCGCTCGCGGAGTTGCAGCGGTACACGCCGCGAGGGTGGCGATTGCAAAAACTTACGCCACCATATGAGCGCGAGCCTCGTCCTCGCAGTGAGACGGCTGGCGCGGCCTGCGCCATGAAAGAACAAAGCTGCCAGCGGAGCACGCGCCCCCTTGCCAAAAACTGAGCTGGCACCCCAACTCAAACGCAAGGCCAGCTTCTGCGCTTCTGCCGGCGGCAACGCGCCCGCTTTGAGGGCCCTGACGATTTGGGAGCTCCACAACTCGAGCTTCTCCGGACCCACGTCAAAAACTATCTCTTGCCGGGCGTCATCAAAACGAACGCCGACGCCGAGAATGGTGGCCGATGGCTGTTCTGTGACAGCCTTGGCGGCATCCAAATCCCAGCCGAGAAGATCTGAAATTACGTACCTGGCCAGCTTGGCAGTGCCAGCAGGGCCCGTCAGAGGGTCTCCGCCAACATCTATTTGCTCTTCCATCGCGTCGCCCGAAGACAGATCGTCGACGAAGCGAAGGTACAGCACTAGGAAAATCTGCGCAAGCACGCCCTGAATTGCCAAACCGAACCGCTCCCAGGCGGACACGGAGGCGGAAGAGCCAAAGGGCATTGCCAGGAGCTGGAGACACTGGTCTTTAGCCAACGCCTCCTGCCACACGACAACTGCCAATGGAAGGTGAGAGCTGCATATTGGTAGTGTCTTGAAGGCTTGCACAAAATCATCTTTGCGCCAACGAATGCGCATTGTTCTTGATTTTGTGAGCTTCAACACCAGCGCTACAAGTGAGTCTAGCGTTTCGGGAAGCATCTTCTCGGATACTTGCGTGCCTTCATTGATACGCGACGCAGAAAAATCATCGATGCATCTAACTTTGGGAAACGTTTCCCAGCCTACGGTCTTCCAACCTTGCACGATTGGGAATCTCGGGGTTAAAACACAAGTTTCTATGTTCAACGGACGCATTCTAGCCTTGCCGTCCGCGACCTCCCGGTCGCATGCAGAAGCAAAAACTTCGCAGACAGATCTGTCCATCCCGAGTGGCAAAGACGATCGCCGCAAAATGCGTCTGTTCTGAACGCTCGCAGTGGCCAATAGAGCAGCTTTGGTTACCTCCGGCGCTGCGTTCCCTGTCGGAACGCGCATCCCACTCGCTGGGAGCAAGCCGACAAGAGGAAAACCGTGCATTAAATTGCTAATCAGCGTGGCGTCTGGCCAGCTGATGGACTCAAGCATCTCGCTAAGGAGAAAAAGATTTTTCCGGGGCCCTAACACACCTTGGCAGTGCGCTGGCAGCTGCGCGAACGCGCGTTGCCAGCAGGGCTCCGTCACTCGCTTCCTCTCCGACCAGTAAGCAAGCGCTGATTTACGAGCCGAGTGCAATTCTGCAGGGGTCAATCTCGTCACGCGGTCGCAGCCTTTTTCCAAAAAGTGCGGCGAAAGAGGAACTTCTGCGCAAACAGGCAAGGCCGACGCCCACTCCAAGTGATCTCATGGATCTAGGCGACGCAAATCATCGCGAGCGAGAAAGCTATGTACACGCGCACCGACATGTGACAGCCCAGCTTTAGAATGCTTAAAAGCAGCTGGGACGAGCCGAAGAGCGCTCCATGGGCTCATCGTCCCCTGACTCGCTTTCCGACTGCTGACCGTCGGCACTGTCAGCGAGCGGCGTGACCGCTCACTTGCTCCAGGACTGCTTGTCCCACTGGCCCGACTGCTGCCATCCAGCGCGCGGGCTGCGCGACCGATGCTGCTGGCCGCCACCAGCGCTGCCCTTGTGCCGCGCGGGCGGCGAACGCACGCGCCGGCTGTCGCCCTTAGCGCTCTTGCCGCCCTTGCCGCCAGAGGATGCGCTGCTGGAGGCATGACTGCCCCCGTCGCCGTAGCTCTTGGAGGCGCCCTTGGGCTGGCCCTTGGACTGACCCTTGGGCGCGCCAGATGCACGAGCGAGCTCCGCGAAGCGCTTATCCACCTTGTCTTTGGCCGTGCGCAGGAGATCAACATCGATCCTTGTAAGGTACCTGCTCAAATCTGGCTCTCCGCTGGAGGACGTCGTATTGAAACGCCGTCCTGACCCCGCCGTTCTCCTCAGCGATGCGGATCATAATATGCACGTAGGAGAAAAAGTCCGCCATGCTGCACGCCTTCGCGAGGATCACCTTGAAACCCCACTCGTGGAGATGCCCCATGAAGGTCGCGAAGCTCACGTAATCGATCTTATCGATCCAAGCGCTTCCGCGCTTGGCGGCCGCACTCTGTCTCACGCGATCCTCGTGGAGCCGTCGCCCACGACCGCGTCGACGAGAGGGGTGCGACTCCATGCTGGGCGGTGATGATCGCGGAGATCTTCGCCTTCTGCAGAGCCGATCCAAGCCCGGCCCTTGTCGTTGGCGATCTTGGCTCCGGCCTCGAACTTCGCCAAGATTTCCTCGGACGGGAGGGTGCCTTTATCGAAATTCTGCAAGCCCACTTCAACGATCCTGTCTTGAAGCTTGAAGCTGAGTCCCTTCGGCTTGCCCTTCTGGAGCGCCTGGGTCTGTAGTTCTGCAAGCTGTTTCACAGCTTCGGCCATTCCTGCCACGTCGCTCGACCCAGCGCCGGCTTCTGGAGCCGAGCGGGCGGGTGGTGCAGCTTGGGCGCACTTGGTCTGCACCTTGAGTGCGAAGACAACCTGTGCCGGCGAAACCTTCCAGGCTTTCCATGCTGGATCCTGCTCTGCGGCGTACGGCAAATCGTTCACAACAATCGCTGCCTTAATCATCTCGCGCATGTGTGGATCCTCGAAATCCGAGAGCGAGGTGCTGCCGATCGTTTCCGCCAAGAGGCGAGCCACCGACACGTAGTAGAACAAGTCGTGTTTCTCCGCCGCGTTGGGCTCGACATTCAGCACGAAGTCGACCCAATCGCGGATCTGGTCAGCGTTGGCCTTGTTAAAGGCCCCGCTCGGCGCAGTGGCAATCATGGCAGAGACGTCGCCGGAAGAGAAAGCCACGGTGGGCACGGCTGGATTAACTTACACCTGTGGAGCACGCTGCAGTGCGAAGAAGGATTTCAATCCCAGCAGGAGTGGTTCACTTGAGCCTAAAAAGCGACAGCTAATGACCAAACTCTCCAGCAATGGCCAGTCCTTCCGACTGAATATCTTCATGTGAAAGCACTTGCCAGAAATGGCTGCGCGCCCGCGGCGCACGTCACGTGACCGGCGCTGGAGGCGAGTTGCTGTTTAAGGAGAGAGCAGAAGAAGCCTTCCGCCCCCTATCCCCCTCTGCGACCTGAATGCGCCATCCAGGCCAGCAGAGGGCGTCATAGGGGCGCGGCAGTACAGACAACAGGGCAACCCCACCATCGAACTGAGCATCTCCGCTCAGTATTTGCATCTGCGGCTGCACCCACATCAATCCGCGGGCACGCGGCGTCTGCTCCGACCTCTCTGGATGTTTATTCATTCCAGTTCACGCCCACAACTGCGCCCACACATTCGCTGTCGAGTCAACGAGAGAGGATGGAGGGTCACTGATTGATGGATGGTAGAGCGCCCGTTTTGGGCGATGCTGTCCTCCCGGACAGTTCGCGGGAAGGCTTACGCACGTTCCCCGCTACTTGCAGCCCTCGGCGGTGGACTGCAGCTCAGCAGAATGGCTGACTAGAGCCACTCTTGAGAAATCAGCCGACCTGGACGGCCGACTTGCGAAATCCGACATGGATGAAATCCCGCCGGAATCTGCATCAATTTCTAGCCTCCTGGGCCAGATTTCCACGAGCCGCACCAGAATGGAATTCTGAGTACGCTAGTGAAAAGGCGTCAGCATGGACTTTAGACCACGTGCGCCATTGTACGCAGGGTCTCGGGGTCGGTCGGGGGCGGGCAAACACACCCGCCCCCGTTGTGTGCAGGTGGGCGGTTAGCCAATGCCCCCCCATCAAGGACTAGCTTCTGCCGCCTGCACACATCCGACCCCGAAAACCCCAATTGTGCGAAGCACAACATTCGCGAGGCCCAAATGGCACAAACTGCTATCCGCCTTCCACGCACTGACAGTTTCAGCGCTGAAATCTAGGCGCGGCCGGAATTCGCAGATTCTCGTTCCATGTGCAATTCACGGCGAGCGCACCGCTCCGCGGATCCACGCACAGACTGCGCATCTGAGGACGGCATCACAGATACCTGCGCGTCAGAATGCGAATCTGGACCCGCCAGGGCCAGAAAGCGCGCAGTTGCGCTCCGCATGCAAGTCAGGCTGGCAGACAGCCGCCAGGCTGTTTCCAGAGCACGCAGGTGCTTTCAGGGAGCTTCGGAGGCGCCGCTCCTACCACGGGCCGCCGCGCAGGAGCGCCGAGTCGCGCTCACATTGCGAATCTGGGTACGCCCTGGCATCAGAACGCAGAAACGAGCTCAGGATGCAATTCTGGGCGCGCGGGCGCCCAAGAGCGCCAAGTCGCGCTCAGATTGCGAAACAAGGTGCGCCTGGCACCAGAGCGCAGAAACGAGCACAGAATGTAATTCTGGGCACTCGGACGCCCGGCGCTCAGAAAGTTGGCAGACAGCCGCCAGGCTGTTGAGAAAGTTGGCAGACAGCCGCCAGACTGTTGCTGGGGAGCGGGCCGGCGCAGCGCCACGGAACCGCCCCAGGAGGCACGCAGGCGCGACTCCTGCTATAGAGCTTTGGGGGGGCCGCTCCTGTCTGGGAGCACACAAGCGCAGCTCCTTTCAGGGAGCCTGGGGGTGCTGCTCCTGTCAGGGAGCACAGGAAGGAGCTCTGGTGGGCAGCGCTCCTGTCGAGGAGCGCACAGGCGCAGCTCCTTTCAGGGAGCATTGGGCGCCGCCCCCTTCGGCGAACTTCTGTTCTGGGGCGCCGCTCCTGTCAGGGAGCTTTGAAGCGCCGCTCCTATCAGGGAGCTTTGAGGCGCCGCTCCCGTCAAGGAGTTTTCGGCCGCTGCTCCTGTCAGGGAACACGCGCAAGGGAGCTTTAGGGCGCCGCTCCTGTCGGGGAGAACGCAGGCGCAGCTCCTTTCAGGGAGCGCTAGGCGCCGCTGGCTCCTATCAGGGAGCACGCAGGCGCAGCTCCTTTCAGGGAGCTTCGGACGCGCCGCTCCTATCAGGGAGCCTGTCTTGTTTGTGCAGCCGCTGTCAGCGAGTTTTGTTTTGCCGCTGCTCGTATCAGCGAGCATTCTCGATCTGGCTTCAAGGAGCCAGCGCACGGGAGCAGCAACAGAAGAACTGCGAGACACGATCGGCCCAGCAGACGAGACCCGAGCAGCGCGGGCGAACCGCCATGCGAGACCGCACCAGAGTACACACGAACAGAGCAAGGTGAGCATACTTCCGCCGCTTCGCGCAGAAACCGCCGGCCGCCGACACCGCAGCCCGCTGCGCAGGCATTGAGCGTGCAGGAATTGAGGAGTGGAGGCAAACACACGCGGGGCTGCTCCTCACGGTTTTCCTGCAGCATAAACGAGTTTATGAATCAGAAAACACTATCGACGACCTCCGCGGGAGCAGTGGGACGCGACAGACCCCGCTGCCTGACTGGGAGACTCTGGGACAAGCCCAAATCCCCAGTCAGGCGATCGCCGAAAACCGAACCACCACCACCAGGGCGGGTGGGCGGGAAAAACCGAACACCGAGCAGCCGGCACCAAGAAGACCGCCCCCAGCGGCCCACCGAGGGAGCGCGCCGCCTGCGACCAACACCGCGGGCACCATGGCCGCGAGCACACGGCCACCGAGCCCCCGAAAGGGAACTGCGGCGCCACCGCCCCCAAGGGCAAAGACGACGACGACGCCGACGACAGACAGACAGACAGACAGACAGACGGACAGACAGACAGACAGACAGACAGACAGACCGACAGACAGACAGACAGACAGACCAACGGCCCAGAGAGACCGACGGACAACCGCGACCTCACCGAGGCCCCCAGGCGCGTGAGAAGCAACACCGCCGACGGGAAGCGCCGCCAGGCACCACCAGCTCCACCAGGAGCACCCACTTTGGGATAAGGCGAGTGAGCAAAGAAGCGGAGGAGTACATAGACAACTCCGGCCGCTCGTTGTTTTCTCGCGCTGAAAACGCCACGCGTTTTCGCGCGGAGAAAACACTATCGACGACCCCCGCGGGAGCAGTGGGACGCGACAGACCCCGCTGCCTGACTGGGAGACTCTGGGACAAACCCAAATCCCTGCTGCACCCAGACCTCCCAGGCGGAAGCTGACTACGCGTTGCCTGTGAAGCAAGAGAGAATCTTTTTGGAACCACAGCCAGGCCCAATGCACCAAGACAGTTCACTCGCCGTCTGACGAGCTCGAATGCTCGACCAAAAATTCAGCTGCCTGCAGGGCCCCACGTGCCCGGGCACTGGCGTACGCAAAGGCAGTCAAACCACGCCAGCCTCCACTGTAGAAGAGGGCAGTCGGACCTCCTGCTTTGAGAGCATCCGAAGCCCAACCACGCCTGAAAGCATGCGTGCCCCACGCCTGCGGGGACCTCAGATTGCACGCAGCCGCTGCTAGTTTTAAGAAAGCCAGCGACTCGGAATAAGATATGTGTTGGAACGGTGGCTCTTTGGCCTCGACAACAGGCACTAAGGCGCACACGCCGCACAAAGACGGCCCCTGCGTCCCGCATATGCAGCCCCTGACCACTTCAACTGGCTCCTTGTAACATTTCCGCCGCAGAAATGTTACGATCACCTGCTTCTTGCCCTTGGCCTCCTTGATTCTTAGTGGGGCCAGGCTCGTACCAATAATCAAGGTTTCACTATAGCGCAAGGTGAAGTGGCGCGACACAACCCACGACCGAGCCACGTCCGGCCTGGATGCCGTCCGGAAGCCCACTTTGCCAGGGCGCGCGTGTCTCCTGGCGAAGCCCTCAACTTCACACGGCGAGTCGCCGGATCCGTGGCCTTCTCAGCGCCCCGAATCAAGCGGGAAGTGTCCGCCAAAGGACCTGGTGAACTTTTCAACCAAGCCAACACTGTTCGAAGACGAGACACATACTGCGCTAACGAAGCTCCGCTCCGAAAGAGAGACACGAAGCAATCCAAGATGCACTCCTGAGGGGGCCATGGCTCCACGCGCACCGTAGCCGCTGCCTGTCCCCACAAAACCACAGCAGACGCATAACCCAAGGCACTTTTTCGCCAGCCTTGAAACTCAATCCAGCACGCCCGCTCCGCGAAGACGGCGGCGGGAGCGGGGCTTCGTTGAGCTTCGCGAGCTTCAGCTGTTGGCGCCTGGCCAGGCATGTCCACGGGCGGCTCTGGCACTTTGTGGAGCACGCGCATGGCGTGTGCCAGTACCGGCGGCGGGGGGACACAACCCGATTGCCTTGCAGCCACTACCAGTCGCAATGCTGCGAGCGCTTGCGCCATTTCTTCGGCTGACGCTGAGGCTGGCGCAGCTGGACCCGCCAATGAACGCTCACGGCTGTGAGCCTGGCGGTCCGTCTGCGATTCCTGCACCGCTGGCTGCTGCATCCCCCTATCCGCTCGACCACAGAACAACAGAAAAACCTTGACGATGGCAACGTCCAGCTGGCCCAGAGCAGGCCAAACCTCCTGCGCCTCGAAAGCGTCCAACGAGCCAAAATCACTGAAGGAAGTCGCGCCGTCGCGTTGCAGACTTGCTGCAATGCCGTCCGCGTCATGGACGTCCTGCTTCGCGGCGCCACCGGCCCTCTGAAGCACGCTCGCCAATTCACCGCGCCAGCGATCCGCAGGATGGCCAGGACGTGGAAGGGAAGCGACAGGCGGCAGTGCTGGCTCGCTGGCCTCAGGAAGCCCCTCTCGTAAGCGCTGCCATCGCGCCCGCTCTGCGTTGACAAAACTCAACGCCATGCGCCGGCCTGCAACCCGCAATCTGTTTGAGCCGAAGGCTACGGAAGACAAAGCAGAAGTGCCAGGCAGAAGCCGCACGTGGGAAACTGAGCGCGCCTGCGCTGCGCACATTTTCCTTCCGCGGAC